ATAAACTACACTACTTCTCAACACTCTTACAAAACAAAGAAGTATGTGTTGCTGAACAGCTAAATTATGTCTTTGCTTCCTGTCTCCATTTTCTCCTCCTGCACAAAAAGTTTATGGATTTTAATGAATTGCTTTTAAACTGTGTATTCCTTATCCACATCTTTCTTTCTTTTCCTTTTTCTTTTTTTAAGAGAGAGAGATTTTTGCAATAGGGTGTGGCACTCAACAGAAAGACAAAGAGATACAGAGACACAGAAAGTAAAAAATCACTCCCCAGTGGGAATGGCTACACCACAATCTCTTCTCCACCATTTTCCTCTTGGGACTGTTGACACACATGCACATATGCCCTGTGTGAGTTTAAAGTCACCAAGTCTGGGACTCACATCGTGGCCAGCCATGTGGGAGTCCAGCAACGTCACCATTATGCCATTTGTTGGTCCCTCATGTCTTTCCTATCTTGTAGTACCTCCTATAGAGGACAATCAAAGCTGCCTACTTTTTAATTATAATAAAAAAACTCTCAGTTAGAGACACACTAAATTTACTACCAAAAGGTTACATTTGTACTGACATAGAAAATACATGTGAACTCTTTATTTTTTATGATTTTTATTTTTAGATTCTATTACAATGTGTAAGACTCAAGAATAACTACAATATAATTTATGACAAACTCAAACGTTTTGAACATTCATAGACATAAGAAATTTATAAAGAATTCTATGTAAATAGCATAATTATGTACATGACTATTCACTTATTTTCATAAAGAATTCTTGATTGTTTTCTTCAAGGCTATAATAACATAATAAACTATAGATATTGAAAAAAAATGGTGGCCTCTAAACATAGGTCTTAAAACGAGGTCAATTATTTGTCCATTCTAATTTAAGCTGGTCCTTCTTTCATTACTTTCAGTAAGAGTACTCCAAAATTGCTAAATAGGACTTCTTTATTTACATATGCATTTTATCTTTTTAACAAAGCTTATCAAAATTCTATAAAAGCATGCTAAACATTTTGGGCTTAGATTTTCAACAATCATCATTTAGAAAACAGCCCACATGTCAATTGAATCTGTTGCAAGCTAAGTAACTGTCAAAAAGGTAAAACAAGATTCTGTCATTTCCATCCAAATTATTATGATAGGTTCATATTTAAATTGATTTGCTTCCATTTTATTCTCACTTAAATTTTGTAGTTTAACTGCCATTCTGTATCATTGGATGAAATATTCAGTGATTATGTAATTTAAATATTAGTTTTACAATGCATTTTGGAGGATGATATATTATAATCAGTACAAACAGCAGCCTACATGAAAAGAGAAGTCTAATATTACTTCAAGCTCACATCGTATGTAATGAGTTCTTAGTTATAAATTTTGTTTTTAATTGATGAGAAATCACAAGTAGACATTCCTGGAACTGACATGTATATGTCATTTTGTTATTTTTAAAATGTATAGTTCAGCATGAAATAGGTTCAGCATAAAACAGGAAAAACACGACATTGTAAATTTGTTTTGAAATGCTAAGAAAAAATTGGGTTGAACAACTGGTTGTGAATATAATTTAATTTTACATAAAAATCAGGTAATATAAAGACATTTGTAAGTCACACATAAACCTGCCCACCAAACATCTTTTCATACATACTGTGTTATGTAAGTATTCACAATGTAGTTACATTTATTTATATGGGTTCAAAATAATAAGGTTAAACTGATTTAAAACCTAAGGTGGTGTTTATTTTTTGATTGGATGTCCTAAAAATGTTACAAATATATTTTTTATGGTTTACTAATTAAATTGTCAAATCTATTTCCAACCAGCCTAAAAGGTATATGATGCAATGCTTTACATAGTATCTTTCATATTAAATTAAAAAGGGGCTCAAATAGCCCAAAATGAATTATTAAACATAAGCGTAAAGAATCTTTGGCCATAGATTTATTTTCATAAATGCTTTAGGATACATGTCTAGACGTGATAATATCCTATATGAATTTTGTGAAAGAAATCACAGTTTAAAATGTTCTAGACATAAGTTTTTCAGAAATCTCTCTCATTTTTTATTTTTGTCTTTCTTGTGTCTATGTTTCTTAGGCTCTCCTTTCTCTCATTCTACATCCTTATCTCTGTCTCTTCAGATGTGTTTAAACTATCTTTTTTTAACTAGACAGAACCACAAAAAATATGTACTTTGAGTACTTATTATATAAATATAATTTGTTAGTTTTTACATTTATAAAGCAAATTAATGAAATACATTTTCTATATTTCCTTCAATAACTCTCACAAAATTTTCTAAATAAAACTTTCTACTTACGTAGCTCAGGTTTTGCCTGAGCATGAATAGCTGGATAGAAAAAATCTTATTCCTAAATGGACTCATGAAAGACATGCATAATGCTCTTCTTTTCAAGTTACTATTAACAAGGATTTTGTTGTTGATTAATTGTTTTGTGGAATTAGATTTCCCCTCCTTGGCAGGATGCGACAAGTAACACGAAATGAATATGTACTTGGTAAATTATAAGCTCAGGGTACTTTAATCAGTGCAAAATATCCTTCATATTATACAAATATGAGGAGAAAGTGATATCTTCCTCATAGATGAAAAAAGTCCAAAAGGATTATTTCTAAAATTTAGGAATGTAAGTTAGTGGCAAGGAAATAAGTTGGCCAGATTCCTACTCGAATGATCTTTCATTCATACTAAGCACAAACTTGTGTTGAAAGTCTGCCATCTATTATGACTGAAAGCTTGCTAAACACATTTGTTATCTATATGAAACAAGTGGTGAGTAAATACTGTGCCCAAGTTGCTTTCTGCTCAAGCATATCTCATGGTATCAAACTGCTAACAGGATACCAGGAAACGTTTCATAGATTAAAGGGAATTGTCAGCTTTGCTCATGGCTAAAGAGTAACTAAATAATATTTCATAAGAAACAAGAAAACTGTGAAAAAGGAAATTGAGATGGTTTAATATCAGTATTTTGGGGCAGCACAGTCCAGTATTAGGTTGAATGGATAATAGTAGATAGATCTTTTATCAATTGCTTTTTTAAAAATCAACTATCTTAATTATTTTTTCTTTTGAGCAATGTGATATACACTCAGAATAAAGTTATATGATTGTTTTATGAACAAGCAGATATATATATATATATATATATATAAAAGACAGGCTGTGGAACAAAATTCTCTAAAAGTAAGTCTTATCCTGGTTGGTATGTGAGTCAACATAAATGGAAATATTTGTTAAAATGAGTAGCCTACAAATATTCTTAATCCCATGGCATGTTATAGACATGTATAAATTGGATTTGATGCAATGGAGAATAAACTTAAGCACCTCAAAATATAGAATGATCTCTGTACACAATAAAAAGTTTAGCTTCCTAATAACAAGATATATTAAGTAAACATTCATTATTAATATTCATTACTTCTACCAGGTATTTATTTCATTGCAAAGTCAAGGTAAAATACTTTTATTGATTTTCAAATAATAGATATTTTTCTATTTGTGTTTATGTTTGCATTTACATAGGAAACATGAAAATAACAATCTTGTGAAAAGATGACAAGGCAGATGTGAAAATTTTCTACATGGTCTACTAATTTATTAAAAGCAAAAAACCTCAGTAAATCACCCTTGTTTGCTCTATTCAGTACTCCCTACAGAATTACTCTGATGATTCTTAAAGAATCATTTACCAATGCAAAAATAGCCATCTGCTAATGATGTGTACGTAATCCAGGGAATCAGAGCTAGCGACTGGACTGCCTTGGAGAGTATTTTGAGAAAAAGAGTTTTGGCATAAACCTCCTCAAAAGAGTCTTATTAACACATATAACACCTTCACAGGCTGTAAACAATATAGCAAAAATGAAGCTCTATTTTTAGCTTTCTTTGTCATCATCTTTCCATCTGTCTTCCTTTTCTGTTTTGTCTTTTTCGTATTTCTCTTTGTCTGGCTTTGTTACACTATCATATGAAGGTGGAGAGACAGAGGACGGAGTCACATTGTTTTTTTCTGGACTTGAGTTCTCATTGACATTATCGAAAACTGTATCTTCCTTATTGGGAAAATCATCATCTCTGTCTCCATCTTTTATGTATATACTTGAGATATTTTTTACATTCTGTCGTAAGCGGTAACGTCTGTAAGCACGCTGAATGACAGTAGCAGACACATCTTCTTGTTTTCGTTTTAGTGTAGTTGTGATAGGTTCATATGACACTTTAGAAGGATTTGCAGACATGAACCTTTCTTCCATTTGTGAACGAAGAGAATCCATCTCTCCACTTTCACCCAAAACACGCTTTGTAAAAGCAAATAAGATGTCAAGACAATGAATCCGGTCACCACTGACCATGGGCAGATCCATGGCAATGAGCTGGACTTTGTTTGGTTTTGCTATGAGAAGAGGAGGATCCAGGGCAGCTGCAAAGTCAGAGAGTTTGCTATATTCTATAAACTGAGTCGCATCTGGATCAAATTTCTCCCAAACCTCGTAGAACATCTCAAAGTCATCCTCACTCAGAGGCTCAGTACTTTCCTCAGTGGCAACGCTGAAATTCTCCAGGATGACTGCAATGTACATGTTCACCACCACCAGAAAGGATATGATGATGTAACTGACAAAATAGAAAATCCCGACAGATGGGTTCCCACAGTCTCCTTCTACTGAGCTCCCAGGGTGAACTTTTTTTGGGTCACAGTCTGGAGGCCCACTATTAAGAATAGGGGCTAGCAATCCATCCCAGCCAGCAGAGGTGGTGATCTGGAACAGGCAGATCATGCTATTGCCAAAGGTCTCGAAGTTGAACATGTCATTAATTCCAGCTTCCTTTTTGACATAGGCAAAGTTGGACATTCCAAAGATGGCGTAGATGAACATGACCAGGAAGAGCAGGAGGCCGATGTTAAACAGCGCAGGAAGGGACATCATCAGAGCAAAGAGCAGAGTGCGGATCCCCTTCGCTCCTTTGATCAGACGCAGGATGCGGCCAATCCTGGCAAGACGGATCACTCGAAACAGGGTAGGGGACACGAAATACTTTTCTATCAGCTCAGCCAGAAACATACCTATATGAGGAAGGAAGGAAGGAACAAAAGACAAATATTCAAATATTCACCCTATGTAACATCATGCCATCTTACCTCTTCTGAATTCAAGACTTTATATTAAATCCAATTTCTTAATAATCAAATGATTGAGAAATTCCAAGGAAGAACAGTTGGAATTGTCATTGTGACATTGCTCTCCCAATTTATTATACTAATCCATAGACATTTTTTATTTTTATTTTTTTGGAGAGGATTTGCTATAGGGTGCATGGACTCGCCAGAGAGACAAAGAGATAGAAAGTGCGAAATCCCCTCCCCCCAGGAATGATGGCCACTCCACTCCACAATCACTTCTCCTCCATTCTCTTCTTGGGATCTTGGGTACGCATGCACACGCGCCCGGCGTGAGTTTAAGCCACTGGGTCCAGGACTCGAACCGTGTTGACTACATGGGAGTCCAGAAACATAGCCATTACGTTAACTGCTTGTCCCGTATAGACATTTTCAATACATACTCAAACAGAATATTCAATTAATATAGAAAAATGCTAAAAAAAGGAATTATAAATCACCATTTGAATTATCACCAACCATAATTAGTAATCTATATTTGACGAGTATCACTCCAAACATTTTTCTTTGTAAGCTCATGAACATACATACTCACAAACACATAAATAATCATTATATGAACTTTTCTTTGTAACTTGTTTTAGTCAGTTCATCGTATGTTATGGAGATACTTTCATACAAATGAAAACAAATAGTTTCTTATAGTTGCATAATATTCTGTCAAAATAACTACATAGTGGGAACCAGCAGTTAGTGTAATGGCTATGTCGCTGGACTCCCACGTAGTCGACCGCAGTTCACGTCCCGGACCCGGTGGCTTAAAACTCATGCCAGGTGTGTGTGTGTGCATGCCCAAGATCCGGAGAGGAGAATGGAGGAGAAGGAATTGCGGCGTGAGGGGAAGGAATGGCGGCGTGGCCATCCCCCCTAGGGGGCGATTCCTCGCTTTCTGTCTCTCTGTCTCTCTCTGTCTGGTGAGCACACGCGCCCTATAGCAAAGCCCTCTCCAAATAAATAAATAAATAAATAAATAAATAATAACCATCTATGCTAGTTCTACTGTTTTGGCTGAAATGAATGTATACATTCCCCAATTGCATGAATTTTTTGATAAAATATTATCGGTTGGGACAAATGGTATATTTAACATTTTTCCTTTTTTTTTTTTTTTTTTTGGAGAGGCTTTTGGTATAGGGCGTGTGCGCTCGCCAGAAAGACAGAGACAGAGAGAAAGAAAGCGAGAAATCACCCCACATGGGGCTGGCCACACCACAATCCCTTTTCCTCCAGTCTCCTCTTGGGATCTTGGGCATGTACACACATGTGAGCAGTGTCAGTTTAAGCCACCGGGTCTGGGACTCAAACCGTGGTTGACTACTTGGGAGTCCAGCGACATAGTCATTATGCTAACTGCTGGTCCCCTATTTAACTTTTTGTTACATATTGCTCAATCTATCTCTAGAGTTTGTACCAATGAATCTTCCTGATCACTGCCTATGAATGTGATTATATCCCACAGGCTCCCCAGCACAGGGCACTACTCTTATTTTTTATAATTATTACCAAAAAATATTTGTGACATTTAAATACAAATATTATTTTGATTTACTTGCACTTTTAAGGAAAAAAATCCACAATATTTCTTTTTCATCAAATATTTTTCTACCCTATGGTTGTTTTAAACTTTCATTTTTGGCCGAGTCAGGTTTTGCATTGTTTTCCTATTGAGATGTTTACTATTTTTTACTGATTTTTTTAAAAAAGGTTTATTCCTCCACTTTTTCCCCCATGAACAAGAGAGACAGAGAGAGAGAGAGACAACTCTTCCAATGGGGTCTTGACGATGTAGTTCATTTCTAGCCAAAACCAGTCACAGATCATTGCAAACACATGCCCTGGGTACACAGGAAGTTCTCTTGATGCAAACCCAGAAAATTCCCATGTGGATTAGCTTCACAGAGCATCACATTAAACTACTATATCACCCTGAGTCCTCCTCTTGTTGATTTTTTTAATAATTATTTAATTAAATTTATTGTTATCCTTTAATTAGACTAAAGAGAGAGAGGGGGAACATGAGAGAGCAATCCATCAGAGCTGAAGCTCAAACCACGGTTGGCCATATGGGAGTCTAGTGCCCTAATGACCATGGCACCTGCCCTCCTGCCAGTCCCTCTGACTGACTTTTAATCATTCATTTTTAAATTGGAAGTATTAATCTTTTGTTTGCCTTGAATGTGTCATAATTTTTTCTGTTTTTGATTTGACTTTTTACCTTTTTCTGTGTCTGATGCTTCCTTCCATAGAATATTTCGATTTTTATGCAATTGATATCTATGGGATTTTTCTATAGCCTTAGTCTGTGTTATGAATAGGAAGGACTATTTAATTTCATAGTTTTAAATCTATTTCCATATATTTTCAACTTAAATCTATTTGTTTTGAACACTAACTTTTGTGTCATGTATCTTTTTATTGAGCAAATCAGTAAATCTCTAAATATTGAAGTTTAATTCTGGACTATCTCTTTGAATCCATTGATTTAAAATTTTAAACATTGTGTTATTTATCATCAATGTTATAATATTGCCATATAGCAACATAAGCCATATCGTATCACTCTAATTTTCCTTACAGGTGAATTTTAGAATGATTTAAACTCATATTGACAAATCATCTCCTTACCACAGAAAGGCTCTTGGCATTTTCTTTAAGTCTATAGATTAATTTAATTAAAAAGGTCATAATTACAGTGAACAATTTCTGATGCAAAAGAAGCCTTTCAATGATTTTAGCCTTATTTTATGTTATTTATTATATAGAAGTCTTGCACATTATATGTTATGGTTGCTATTAGATATTTTACTTTATTGTAATTATAAAAGAAAATTTTTTCAGGTTTATTTTATAATTATTTTGTTTAGATATAGCACCATCTTAAATGATACATGTAATTTAAAATTTGACCCTTCTGAAATCTAATTCAATCTATTATTTTAATTATTTTTTCAACTTAAAATAATTTCATACTTTGATGAGGATAAATATTATTTACACCTTTGTTTCACATTTTATTATTGAATTGGTTTGTCCAATTGCTAAAAATAAAGCTAACAGAAAGTATTTTCTTCGTAGAAAATTTTTTCAGTATTATTTTTATTCTTATCATTCGTACCTAGATTTTAATTTGTTTTTATGTATCTTAATTTCAGTGTCACTTCTGGTGGTAATTTTCTATAGGTCATAAAACCTAGCCAGAGAGAGACAGACAGAGAAAGAGAGAATTGGAAGGTAAGAAAGCAGCCCCTGGGGAGATGGCCATGTCACAATCCCTTCTCCTTCATTCTCTTCTTGGGATTTGGGACATGCATGTACATTCATGCATCTAGAATGTTTTTAAGCTGTTGATTCTGGGACTTGAGTCATCCAGTTGACTATGTGAGATCCAACCACCTTAAAAAAATTACTTTAAATGCCTATTCTAAATTATTTGGCACTCAATAATGTGATTTGAAATTTATATAATCATTCTGGGCCTTTTAGATAATCTGTAAGTTTCATTTGTATTAGATGTCTTCCATAATCCCTCTTCATTTAAAATGTGTAATTTTAAAAGTAAATGTAATCCTAAAACATTAGGCATGTGTGAAAAATAAAATAAAAACAATACAAAAGTGTTGCTATAATGAAAGAAGAGAAGTATAAAATTATGTATTCAAAATATAATTATTCTAAATATGACCACAGATTGGTTGAAAAGTGATTGTATTTTATAGACTTGCCAAGTGATAAGTCATAAGAAATGAAATTGGCATTTCTTGAGACCTTAACTTTACTTTAAATCCAGGATAATTTTTACAAAGTCACACACACGAAAAAAGGTATAGAGATTATCATAAATCATTCGGTTACATATATGATAAAACTGGAAGTTACATCAGATTTTGCATTGGTTACCAAAATACATCTACATACTAACATGGTGGCTAGCTCAGGGAAGGGTAATTTTGAGAACTAAATATTGATGAGCATAATGTCCTTTCACTGGGTAGAAACATTTGACTCTGAGGCCTGCAATGTGAATCTGAAAATTCTGAAAAGAAGTTACTGTTTCATTTTTTTTTAAAGTTTCTTCATTCTTTCATTATACTAATTTACTTAAAAGCTGTATTTACATTTAATTTACTTAAAAGCTGTATTTACATTTGGGGCCAGCAGGTGATGTGGTGTCTGGGTTACTGGACTCCCACATGGCCAACTGCATTTCGAGTCCTGGACCTGGTGGCTTACTTTCTCACTTTCCCTCTCTCTCTCTCCCTCTCTCTCTCTGGTCAAATTAAAATAATAATAAATAAAATTTAATGTTCTTTAAAAAGTATATTTACATTCAATAATTTAAAAACTTCTCTGGACACATGTAGACTTTAGTGTAATTCAGAATTAAAATTTGATTAGTAAGTAGTCTTACCGACAATGGAGAGAATTACAACCACAAAATCAAAAATGTTCCATCCTACAGTGAAGTAGTAATGTCTGAGGGAGATCAGTTTCAGCACACATTCTCCAGTGAACAGGATAATAAATACCACATTTATCCAATGTAGAACAGTGGTCATGTAGTTACTTTGTCCCTCCTTTTCTACCATCATGGTTACCATGTTGAGGCAGATAAGAACCATGATAGTGATATCAAACACTTGGTTTGTTACCATGTCAAATATACATCCTTGGAATTTGTTCTGCAAAGAAACAAGAATGATACAGAGTAAAGAGTAAATTTTTCACATAGTATCTGCAAGTTAAGATGTACATTGAAAATATGTTAAAAATTTAAAATTTTATGTGCTAAAGATATACATACATATATACATATATATACATATACATATATATGTGTGTG